ATTCAGCAACTGACAAACAACTTCTAAATCTCTATGAAAATGATATTCAACTATTATCATCTTATTACTTGTTAAATAACAACAAAGTATTGTACATTTTCACTTCTCTTCGCATTAGCAAATGTGTGTGCATTAATATTCATAACACATTTAACCAACACTTGTTTGTTAATTCGTTATTCCAAACGTGTTCCAAGTATATAACCCTTTGGACTGTCGTTAAATTGACAAAATAATTAACAATACTAATTGTTACAAGAAATTAACGATATCTAGTAATACATCATTACTATTCATCTGGTAAGAATTAATGATTCAACCAATCGTGTCTGTAATAAACATAAGGCAAGATACATATCATTGTCGTTATGTTCAATCTCGAGTTCTTTTAAATCTCCAAACAGACTAAAAAACAAAAGGAACTGATATCACATATCAACTAAATGAGCATGGGTGCGTTTTTTTCATCTCATTACTACATGATATTGTCATACAGTCAATTATTATTATATCACTGAATTATGATGTGATTAGATAATCAGTGTCTTGTATAGTAGGTTTCAGTGTCCTTAAGTCAAATGACATATACAATAATTACATGAGAAATACTGATATTACTCATATGACATCCCATGTTCAAGTTCATTGACTTATACCCGTATGTAAACTTCATAAATTTTATATGGGTTTCTATATATGTTAATAGGTCAATACATTGTCCAAAGAAGTAAATGACCAGAGACTATTTAAGGGATCGTTTACCAAACACTTACCCGGTAAACGCTTATCAATAACATTTAAAACTATCACTTACTTACCAGATAAGCTTTTAGTCAACAAAAACGGCATTGTATGCAACAATTTACCCTGTAAGTGCTGACCGTGGTAAGAGTCATCGTCCTCACTTACCGGGTAAGACTCTTGGTCCTTGCCTTACTCTTACCGGGTAAGATTCTTGGTCTTTACCATATTCATCCGGTAAGGTAATGTGACTTGATAAGCGTTTGGTAAACGGCTCCTAAGAATGAATTATTTTAACGTTATTATTATAGTTAAAATATAACACAAATTATAAGAATAAATACAACGATTAGACAGTGTATTTATTATTATTTTTTATTAACCTGGATATCCAACCCGCTATGCGAGCCGACTAATCTCAGGACGACCACCTGCTTTGCAGATAGCCTGGAGTCGCGGCATTTGAACCTCCGTGGCCACAAGAGGATTTTTATTCCTCCTTGGATTTGAACATGTGACCTCCTGGTACTTTGGCACTTGGAGCCAAGCTCAAACCATTCAGGCACCGCCCAATATTACAAAACCCAGTCATCTAATGATTGACTTTTGAATATAAACAAAGATCCCCGTAAATATATCGTTGGATGGACGGGCAGCAAAAGGTTCATTATCAGAATATGGCTAAACGAATATTATTAAGAATGAATTATTCTAAAATTATTATTATGTTTAAATAAAAGAAAATAATAAATATAACACAATAATTAGACAATCCTTCATTATTAAAATCATAACTCAATGCTCCAAAGTTCAATCATCTAACAATTGACTTTTCTACATATAATAAATATAAATCACCACACACACACACACACACACACACATATATATATATATATATATATATATATATATATATATATATATATATAGCATTGGATTTCAACAATAATGAAAGTTATGATGAGAAAGGTAAGAAAAGATCTTCACTATTGGATCAATCCTAATTGAAGACCAACACTAATGTAGTAGACCGAGATGAACCAGATCAATTCTCGTGGTAAGCACAATTTATGGGTGGGGGTGAGATTAAAAGTGATCAATGGTCCAGATCTCTTCTTACGCTTCTCAGCTTAGCTGTTAATCTCACATGATACTTTGTCTATACATACATATCCACACACACACACACACACACATATATATATATATATATATATATATATATATATAGACATACATATCAATAGATGAATAAACGACAAAAGATTCATCATTAGAATATGGCCTTTCAGATGTTGTCGCTGAAATTTTTGTTCGTTAAAATGTCTAGAACTAAAATAACTGAAAAATCAACATTAAACTTTACACTATGATTGAATAACATTTTCTCGTTTCTAAAGATACTATTCGGCACCATAAAACTAATGGAAATATCAGTATTATACTATCTGGTATCGTATTATTTTTATGAAAAGTTGAATCTATCATATAAAATTCTTTAGTTATGATTTTTTTGTTCTTTTTAGAGGAGAGTTAGGGACTTTCATAGGAACAAAACTTTGGTTAGCATCTAATACCATCATGAGCCTATACACCCACAAAACATATAGTAATCAAAGGGATAGGTCATATCTAAAGATGAGTAAAAAAAATAGAAGATTATCAGTTAAAATCACAAAAAAAAACAATATTTTAGGCAGAAAAAAGATCATGTATTATTTATGCTTAATGCTCGTTAAATAATTCTAAATGATATATATGACTCAAATTTCAAGTTTTATAAGCTCGTTTATGAGCTAAAACTCGATATTTGATTAACTCGATTCTCGTTTAACAACTCAAGCTCGAAAAGTTCGTTTTTTGTGATTGCAAGGCTATTGTATTTAAACAACAAGGATGATGTCTGAATGGTTTGATCTTGGCTCTAAAGGTCAAAAGTACCAAGAGGTCTCAGGTTCAAATTTAAGGAGGAATAAAAATCCCCTTGTGGCCACGGAGGTTCAAATACGGTGACTCCGGGCTATCTGCAAAGCAAGTGGTCGCTCTGGGATTAGTAGGCTCGCATAGTGGATTGGATATCCAGGTTAATTAAAAAAAAAGGCTATTGTATTTACAGATATATTTTAATTACTTATTTAAATAAAAAAAATATTGAATTAGCTATTTATATTGACTAATTTTGATCAAAGTAATTGACATGGGTAATTAATAACGGCTGGAATATTAATATTCTCTCCATTAAATTATTCTTCGCCTTCGTCATATTATCTTAAATTGACCATTCGTTAATTAATTTGACCGAAATTAGACAAGAATAATGTAAATTCATATGATTATGAAATTAAAAAAAAAATCTAATTCATATACGTAATTGAATAAGTTGTTAAAATACGATGACATTTTTTAATCTAATTTTGTTATAAATAAATAAAAAGCCAAGGGAAAACACGACAAACACTGCCCAGCTGAATCGTTAGAGTAGTTCAATTGGTGAGGACTTGGGTTTACTCTCCATTGATCACTCGTTCAAGACCCTTTAGGGTTTTTTTTATCTAGTTGTTAACTAAAGCGACCTATAAGATTAGTCAAGATGCACATAGATCAGTCGAAGTACACGTAACTTGTTTCAGACATCTATGGTTGGTAACCCAACTTGGGTTTTTAAGCAGTCAAAACTATCTCAAGAAAACCTTGAGATCCTACAGTTGAACGTGCGCTTATATATAGCCTAGACAAACTGATCCATTAAAACCGAAGAACTGGCTAGACTGCAACCGATCCATTCAATTCATTGTCTAGTTGGGCCATAAATAATGGACACGCAAGAGTCAGGCAAGCCTATGAAAGAATTACATAAGGTTTTAGGGTTTTAATTTTAATTTAGTAATTTGTCAATTTTATCTAATATTCTTGATTTTTGTTCCACCTATTTTGGTGAGACGCTCAAGTCCTTTCATGTCCTAGACTAATGTCCACCAAACATAGGACGACAATTTTTTTACCGTTATATTCTATTTTGTCACGCTTACCAAATGCACCCATGGAGGCCAAGGATAGGTCTGGTTTATATATGGTTCAGATCTTAGTGAACACCTTGAACCTCAAGGGTGGTGTCTAATTGGTTTAAGCTCGACGCCAAAGGTCAAAAGTGTCTGGAGGTCCCATGTTCAAATTCAAGGAGGAATAAAAATTCAATTGTGGCCACGGAGGTTCAAACACGGTGACTCCGGGCTACCCGCAAAACAGGTGGTTACCCTGGGATTAGTCGGTTCACATAGCGGGTTAGATATCTAGGTCAATAAAAAAAAATGAACACCTTATAAGTTTTCAATAAACAGATAACAAAAGTTTCAATATCTGAGTGAAAAGTCTTAAAACACATGTAAAGAATCAGTTGGCTTTACTTTTGATAGGAAAAGTATTCTTTTGATTGCTGTTCTTTGAATACTTCACCTTTACTAATAAATTCACCCAGCCATTGTTCTGTTTACTTTGAGCCATTGCTATTATAGAACAGCATCAGTTCTCTCCCCACCAGGATGCCCCTAAACACTTATTTGACTTGTGTTTTTAATCATCTGCTTTAACTTTGATTTCTTATGTATTTTCACTAATTTCCTGAATATTTGCTTTCGTTTTCTCAGGGCCCGCAAATTCGATCAAGGCTGCGTTGGTCTTCGACTTCTTTTTGCTTTTATTGATTCTTGAGGAACTTAATCTCCCATCTAGGACATTTCTAACATATTTTAATTTTCAGTAACAGTCACTTAAGCCGATTCAAAGCTGGCTTAAAGACGTGCCACCTGTTACTAAAATGGTGGTGGCCCACCAAAAAGGACGGGCCTACGTCATATTCTCTTGATATCCTAATGTCTCTTGACTATACTAAAATACATACATACATAGTAGGTTTAAATGAGAACCGAAATTATGCAAAAAACCTGGAAACTAACTATTTATAAAGAAATACATAATATTCATAATTATTTAGGGTAATTCATTATGAATAATACATGAAATAGTTAATTCCTAGATTCTTAAAATATGTATGGTTCTCATTTGAACTTTCCTCCCCTCTCTCTCTCTCTCTCTCTCTCTCTATATATATATATATAATATATATATGTATATGTGCATGTATATGTATATATAAGTATATATAGACACTTGTATGATGCAAGTAAGTTTGTGAAGAAACTCAAAGAGTTAAGACCAAGGCAGAAGAAAAGCATATAGACATCATTACCACTTGGCCAATGGCCACATCCCTCCACTCTCTGGTTCCAAACCCTGAAGATAGCACAACTACTACTACTACTAACCCCATGGAAGAAGAAGTTCCAAATATGGTGAAACCTGATCATGATCACTCTGCCAATGTTGTTTACCCTCTTCAGACCCAAGGCCATTCACAGTCCTTTCTACAACTGGCCTTATACCCCATAACTTTAAAGGTCTCTTTCCATCCCCACCCATTACTAATTTTTTTTTAGAGTTATACAAGTGTTCATATTCATGCTGATTTTGCCATTTATTTGCAGTTTGAAGAGGTTGTTTATAAAGTTAAGGTTGAGCAGAAAGGTACGTGGTGCAGTGAAACAGGGAGTTTAACAGAGAAGACAATACTAAATGGCGTGACGGGTGTAGTTTGCCCAGGAGAGATACTAGCGATGTTAGGTCCATCGGGAAGTGGTAAAACGACCCTACTGACAGCCCTCGGAGGACGCCTGAAAGGGAAACTATCAGGGAAGGTATCATACAACAGCCAACCATTTTCTGGTTCTACGAAAAGGAGAACTGGATTTGTGACTCAAGATGATGTTCTTTATCCTCATCTCACTGTCACCGAAACTCTCTTATTCACTGCTATGTTGCGGCTACCGAAAAGCGTGAGTCGTGATGAGAAGGTGCTCCATGTGGCTCGAGTTGTAGCCGAGTTGGGATTGACTCGTTGTCAGAATAGCATGATAGGTGGCCCACTATTTAGAGGTATATCAGGTGGAGAGAAAAAGAGGGTGAGCATAGGTCAAGAAATGTTGATTAACCCAAGCTTGTTGTTKTTGGATGAGCCAACCTCGGGTCTGGACTCGACCACGGCTCAGCGGATCCTTACCACAATCAAACGGCTTGCTAGTGGTGGACGAACTGTGGTAACCACAATTCACCAGCCATCTAGCCGGATCTACCATATGTTCGATAAAGTGATCTTGCTCTCTGAAGGCTCCCAAATCTACTACGGTCCTGCTTCCACAGCATTGGAGTATTTCTCTTCAATTGGGTTTTCCACATCCGTCACAGTGAACCCGGCCGACCTTTTACTAGATCTTGCTAATGGTATTGAGTTTTTTAAGTCAACTACTTGCATCTAATTTATGTACAACCTTATGTGTCCGTATACCTGCTTCTATTTGCCAATATTTTGCATATCCCGCTTTCGCACACTTTTCATAAGCCTGGGATCTTAAGGGAAAAAAACACTCTACTATTTGAGTAGTGGTCAGGTCTGTGTACATCTTACCCCTCCCGGACCCCCGGGTGGGACCAACTGGGTTCGTTTGGTTTGATTTGGTTTCTTGGTTATAGATCAATTAAGAACGTCTGCGTAAACCACCTTCATCATTGCTAAGCATAAATTTCAAATATCACAGGAATTGCACCTGATTCAATGCATGACTATGAGCAAGGTGAAAATGCGGAGGGGGAGCGGAAATCAGTAAAGCAACAACTCATCACTTGTTATGAAACAAACATCTCAACAAGACTGAAAAGCGATCTATGCAATCTGGACGTGTGCAACTACAATCATGTGAAAGAAGATTTGACAAGTAAGTACTCCTTCGTCCCAAAATAAGTTTCCACATTTCTATTTTAGTTTGTCCCAAACCAAGTGTCCACTTTTAAAAGAAAATGCCTACTCTTAATCATGAGATGAAGAAACTCTGTACTCCCTCCATTATTAACGGTTAAATTGTCGTTCATTTTTTTAAAAACTATAATAATTACATATTTCTAAAATTGTGCCCTTTCATTTTGGACATTTATTTTGGGATAGAAGGCATATTATAAAAGAGGCTTACTATAGCTTAAACATGCTACTGTTTGTAACTTTGTATATATATTAACTCTCTTCAAAAGTAGGAGGCCGTGTGCAATCAGAGCAATGGTGCACAAGCTGGTGGGATCAGTTCAAGGTGCTACTTCTAAGGGGACTTAGGGAGAGGAGATATGAAGCTTTCAATAGGCTTAGAATCTTTCAAGTCATAAGTGTCGCAATATTGGCTGGGCTCCTATGGTGGCACACCCCAATGTCTCATATTGAAGATCGTGTGAGCATTTTGATCTCAAGAGCTCATCAATATAGAAAAAACATTATGGGTGCTTTTGGTATGCTGACATGATTGGACTGGACATGGGAGGGTAAAGTAGGCGGGTGAAAGAATCGTGGAAGGTTTAAATTTTGGAATGGGTAGTTTAATAATTTACTTATCTTGTCCCAAGTCCCAACTTCCTAATTTTTGTTCCCCCTGTGTTTTTGTCCCACTTGGTCAATGTCAGTCCTAGTCTAACTGTCGCGCCAAACGTGGGAAAACAAGTTTTTGTCCCGTCCTGTCCGCATACCAAAAGCACCATAAATGATTTATGTTTGGTCTCTTAACACTAAAACAATTTGGTTCTTTCCTGCAGATAGCAATGCTTTTCTTCTTCTCTGTATTTTGGGGATTTTACCCACTCTACAATGCAGTTTTTACTTTCCCTCAAGAAAGAAGAATGCTTATAAAAGAACGGTCATCAGGGATGTACCGTCTTTCCTCTTACTTCCTAGCAAGAACCATCGGAGACCTGCCACTCGAGCTTGCACTCCCAACTGCTTTTACCTTCATACTCTATTGGATGGGTGGGCTCAAACCTGATCCAGCCACTTTCATCCTTTCCCTGCTCGTGGTACTCTATAATGTTCTTGTGGCCCAAAGTCTCGGACTAGCAATAGGTGCTATACTTATGGACGTAAAACAAGCCACTACTTTAGCCTCAGTTACAACCCTGGTTTTCCTAATTGCTGGAGGGTATTATATACAGCAAATCCCTTCTTTCATAGCATGGTTGAAGTATTTGAGCTACAGCTACTACTGTTACAAGCTTCTTCTTGGGGTTCAGTATGATAAGAATGATCTTTATGAGTGCTCAAAGGGAGTCTATTGCCATGTTGCAGATTTTCCAGCTGTTAAATCCGTGGGATTGGATAATCTACCTATGGATTTGTCGATTTTGGCATCGATGTTAATTGGGTATCGGCTCATTGCTTATTTTGCATTACACAGGGTCCGGTGAAGTGTACCAGAGGACCAATTTTCTTGGACAAGGCCATCTGCAGAGCTTGAGCTTGTTGTTTTGTTAGGAAGAGAAAAAAAAAAAACATACTAGATTTAGATCACATGTTGCCAGAATTTTGATCACCTTTCCCAAGGAAGTGGCTGTGTTACCACCCTAGTGGCAAATGTTTGCATAAAACTAACTCTATTTAAACAAAACGATAAAGAAATATCCTAAATGGATTGATTATAAATATGATGTTCGGATGTACACATTATGTTTTTCTAGACCAATATAGTAGGGATCCTGTCACCATTTGATACAATAATTATGCAAGATAAAATGACCAAATAGGCCAACGAAAACCAAATTTCAAGTTTACAACATAATCTAGAGAAATGTCACAACTAATGAACCATGATATCAAAATGACAAAGTAACAAGGACCTACCTTCCATTTCAAGACATAGGTATTCTTTGAGTTTTTGAGGTTGGACGGCATACTTCTCAAATTCAAAATTGGTAGACTTCGTTGCAAATTTAATACCAAAACGTTTATCTTCATAGTTTTATCATAACAATAAGACAATTCATATCAACGTTGATATCGAAAGTAGTATATTGATTCTCACTTCTTAAATATCTCTTTTCCTGAAACCAATGGTCAAACTTACATATACCTGCGTGAAGATGAAAATGACAGTAAGAATATTCTGCAGTCAGAGCAATTTTTTCTTTATATATTTTGGAGTCTGCACAGTTTTTCATGGAGAGATTTAGAGACCCAGTGTTAGGTATACTTTTTGAAGGATTAAGGAGAAGAAATTTGAGCTTAGATCAAACTCTACATACACAACAGCTAACCAACATGTGGAATCAAAATGACATCAACATAAATCTTTATCCAACACTAAAGCAGATCTTTTCCTGATCCAGACCTATAGATTGACGTAGAGAATAACCAATAGGTCACACTGAAGTTCAATTGACCAATTAAAACAACATGCATTTGTCATTTCCTGCCCTCATTGGTCATTACATCCAATGTCATTTCCAAATCTTTAGAAGGATTTTGATTTTCTTTCCTCTCCTAGAATATATGGTGCCTTTAGACCGGCCAAACAAAGTTAAGGTATGGGTTCCCTACGACTGAGTAAATACTGTGAAAAGAGCCAAGGTCAAGTGGTTCTCCAATTTCATTCATTGTATGAGTATAATCGATGGAATATGTATTGTCCTTGGTTAGGCTCTGCTTGAAACATAAAGCTATCCCAGTATTGTCCTAGAATTTAACACAGCAACCAAGTTAAATTACAAACCAAAACGGAAAGAATTTAGAAGAAAAATAAAGAACAAAGATGGTGAGGCAGAACGCATCTATCCTATTTAGTTTGAGTACTCCAACTTTTAGACTTGGGGTGTGTAGCTTCCGCACCTGGGTTGTGTTTTTCTTTACTTGCTTCTATTTTCATTATTGTTGCCTACTCATACCCAGTTTCTCAAAATTACATATCCGTCTTTCTCTGTTTCTATTTGTATTGCTATTGCTTACTTATATCTAGCTTTTCTAATTTTAGCATATGTCTTTCTCCCTTTCACACACTCTTCACTAGCCAGGGATCTTTCGTAAGGTCTACGTATATCTTATCCCCCATACCTCCGGGTGGGGTATATTGGGCTTGTTTGGTTTTTTTGGTTTATTCTTTATGATTTGTTCTATCCTCGAGATGTAAGGTATAAGAGTAAGTGTACCGACAATTACATGTCTTAGACCTTACAAGGTTGATGCCCAGTCAAGTTCATTATTCATGTTCTCCTATGCAAAATTCTCAATTGAAAAGTAGAAAGTTTATCAGATACCACCTTTTGTTCATTCTTGCTTTGAGGAACTTCTTAATCAACTACAGGAAATAAAAACACTTCTTCCAAATGCAATGTGTTTATCAAATGACCAAACTTGAAGATTCTCCAAATCCAAAGAGAATAGCAGCAAGAAAGGCTGGAAATCTGCATTTAGCCGTACCATATTATAAAAATTAAAACTTCACTGTGCAATAGCACTACATACTTGAAATGGGGCATTCAAATCAATGATTGCAATGATGAATGAAAAAGTTTGTGATTCAAATCTAACTTTTATGCTTAATGCTTACCTCCACATTTTTTAAACGTTTTAACTTAAAGGAATCTCGTACAACTAATTGTATAATATTTGATTTAACTAATAGTGCCACCGAGTCCAAATTTCCACCCATGTTTCCCACTAAGCAACTTTTGTTTCTAAATTCAAAATAATCAACCACTTTCTCAGATCTTAACTTAACTCATTATAAGCCTTTGTCACAACCAGTTGAGTCTTTGAGATAATCATAACCCAAATTCTAACAAATAAGAAAACAGAAAACAAAGCAAGAGAAACTAACAGTATACACAATGGCTAACTAAGCAATCTAAAACAAACACATTCAATAAACGAAAACCGAAAATTGTAAGAAGACCCATCATCCCAAAATCACAAAGAAATAGCCATTAATCCCACCCAGAAATCATGCATTGCAGCAAAATTATCAAATAGATAAAAAGAAGAGAAATCTCTATTACACAAAACGTCGAACAGTTCAAGTGCAAACTTGTTAGTGCTTTTGCGAATTAAGTATTATAATGAGATAGGATTCACTCACAGTTATTGCAATTGGGGTTTGATTAAAGGCTTTTTGACATCACGAAATCGTCATAAAGAAACATTTGTGCGGATTTCTTTTCTGGGTCAATAAAGCTTCATAGTAGTAGCAACCAGCGAAGTAGGAAAATGATGGCAAACATAGTTGTCATTCCTGATCCCCTACCGAATCTTTTTTTCCCCTTTCCCTTTTGTCGTTTTCATTCTTTTGGAAACAGCAACTCCATTCTCTTCGTACGCTTGCTTGGATTGGAGGAAGAAACTTGATGTGGCAGTTAAGTTTTCTTTTGCTCGTTAACAATGGTGGTCAAAATCGATAAATTACTTCTTATGTGGTTTCTTTTCCATCAAAATAAACTACAAACTATTCATCAATCTTCAGGTTTAGTCCTTTAAGAATCTTTTTTTCTTCTTTTGATCCAAAATCAACTATTTTGCTTCATTTTGGTCCCTGCTTTGTTAACACCCATGCAAATTTGTTAAAAAAAATATGTTTTGTATATGAAAATAACTTTTGTTCATTTATCTATATCACACAGTAATTAAGGGACGATACAGTCTTTCAATTTCCTGAACCTGTTATCCTGATACCTCATATGTAAGGCATTGACACAGTGTTATCATTTAATTAATCATCCAATGGTTACTTACTTTGTCTTTTTCTTTTATCAGGGTCTCGAGTTCTTCATAAAATCAGCTCTATTTTATACAACCAAGATTTCAAATCATCACCCCAAACTTAAGGAAATTCAAATACTGTTTGATAACAAAATATACTAATGTCGTTATCAATGCTACGAGAACCAATTGTGGACACATTCCTAAGATCGAATTAGATTTGGGGTTTTAATTGCAATAACTAAGAGTTGAAAGGTTAGTTGTAAGTTACACATGTAAAAGGGTTCAAACTGTAAAATTATAATTGTGGATTTCGATCTGTCAAAACTTAATAAGAGTTATAAACTAAGGGGCCGTTTATCAATTACTTACCCGGTAAGTGCTTACGGGTAAATTTTAACACTATTATGTATTTACTGGGTAAGATTTTAGTCCACCAAAACAACATCGTATGCTACAATTTACCAGGTAAGCGCTTGCCGTGGTAAAAGTCGTTGCCCTCACTTACCGGGTAAGGCTCTTGGTCCTTGTCTCGTTCTTACTGGGTAAGATCCTTGGTCCTTACTATATTCATTCGGTAAGGTAATGTTACTTGGTAAACGTTTGGTAAACGACAGTAAAATTTCCGTATGTGACATGAAAACTTGATAAACGCTTCTAACTAATTCCTCTTCATGATATATCACTATTCTGCAAATCTCAAATCAATGTTTTTTTAAACAGGCTCAGTCTCTCTATTTTATTAGGGCACACGACTTATTTGCATATATTTCATCCCCAGATTCAGGAGTCGTTTACCCAATTGCTTACCCGGTAAGCGCTTACTGATAGGAATCAACATTATGATTTATTTTGATGCGTAAGATGTTAGTATATCAAAACATATCGAATGCAACAATATACTGGGTAAGCGTTTACCTGGGTAAGAGTCGTCATCCTCACTTACCGGGTAAGACTCTTCATCCTTCTCATCGCTCTTACCCAATAAGATTCTTGGCTTTTCTCATGTTCATCAGATGAGAAAATTTATCCAATACCAAATAAGTGTTTAGTAAACGGCCCCTCAATTTCTAGGTGGGATATATTGGTTTTATTTGGTTTAGTTTCCTTCCTAGCAAAGATTCTTCCTCCACTAGCATATATCATTTGCATCTTTCATTCCTCGAAAAACTAATCTCGTACCCTTTTTAACCTTCGCACTTTTCTCTTCTTTTGACATTACGGTACCCACTTGACGTTAATACTCCAAGTGAAAGCGCATCGGTAACCACACCAGGAACATACTTCGATTCAAAACAATCTTTATAGTTCTTTATTGAATCTTAAAGCATATACTTCACCTTCAATCTTCATTGAGTTTTCTCTTTACGCTGAACGTGTCAAACATAGCATGATCACTGCAAATATGCATCGAAGCAACATCGTTAACCTTTTTGTTAAATACTGATGTCATATATTACTTACTGATGCTAATTACTGATGTCATACATTAATTAATTGCATTATATTTTGTTGACTCGTCCTCACTCTACATCCATGCTATTTGTTACTTTATGTTTCTAAAATCGAAAACCCAAAATTTATCTTCGAATCCATCATCTGAAGTTACCTTTTTACATTGAGATCTTAGGACTTGAGAAAAAACTATCGTTGAGGAATACAGTATCCGATACTTTACCAGTTCATTAACGCGATAGTGTTGATACATGCATACTTGCATGGATACCACTGAATTCTTAGAGATACAAAC